ATGTGTGTCTATGAATTCTCATTTTCTTCCCTCACTCTTTGTTGTATCTTCAGATTTTTCAATGGATATTAGTCATATCTGCTCACATGAGTTAATGGAATTTAGCAATAACTATTGCATTCACTCTGGGCTTCATCACTTGATATCAACAAAACCAATCACTACTTCAAGTAACAGTAAGATAAGCTGAAAGGAGGACTCAGTTGCATATCGTCGTACTTGCAACTGATATAATACACTTTCATCCTTATTTGGGTAGATGGATGGATTTTCCACATATTTTACCTGTTTTGCCTCCTACTAGCTAAAATCCATGGAACATAGTAGAAAGACTAAGGGAGGCTGTCAAGTAGAGAATTCACAAGGGACCTAAGAGTTTAAGCAAAACATTCCATCTCTTGTGCTCAGTGGTTTGGAGACACAATGTATTATAGCTGAGTCTGATTTAGGATTTCTTGCCAGTAAAAAGGAGTATGTATACTCTAAGAAAAAAATAAAATTTCCTTGTCAATATTTACAATGGAATAAAAATGAGGTAGAAAAGGAAATCTGAGTGAAATATCCATTTCATCTTTTATGGTAAATTATTTCTCAATTTAAGTTCTGTTCTTAGGAAAATGTTTAAAGTGCCACCGCAAATGTAAAAATCATAATATTTTGGTTTCCATCAAAACCCCCCGAAATAACGTTAACAAATTTAAAACCCATAAAAGTGGTTCAGTGAGCTATACTGAGCAGCAGTTATACTGACCATTTGGCATCTGCATGTTTTCTAAGTGTAAACCCAAGAGCAGTATTTGTCCCTTGTTTTTATGCACCTGATTCTCTGTCTTTGAATGCAGTAACATGTGGGAGCGTCCGTCGCGTCCCTTCTCCCGAGATGTCATCATTCGCTGGTTCAAGGAAGAGCAGATCCCTCGGCGTGCTGGGTTTGAGAAGAACACCAACAGGATTGCTCAATGGTTTCATGGTAATACACTGCTGCTTCATTTCTTGTATAACAGAGGTGTGAGCATATGCTCAGGAAATAAATCTTGCCAGATTTTATCCCAAAAAGGAAAGTCAACTGACATTGTGAAGCTAAGTGCCTGTTAAAACAAGATTTTTGCATCTTTCCTATTATTAGCATATTATTTTCCTGTTTTCCTTTTTGGGATTAAGTAGACTAATTTGGGAATCATATCACCAAAGTCTTTTTTCAGGACTATTTTGACCAAAAATATATCTGCTGTAAAATAGCAAGCCAAGCAGGAGTACTGAGCCCAGCATAGGGTGAGAAGAACTCCAAAATAAACTGGCAAATACTTCAGTGATATGGTATGTGGATGACTGACATTCAAGTTTTTGCTTTACCTGATTTGCCAGTAGGACTTGAACTTATATTCATATTATCCCTGTTGTATTTTATGAATTGGCGTGGCATTTTTTATTTCTTGCTTTCTTTTGCAAACAAAAATGAATTATTTTTTTCCTCAAAAATAATTGTGAGTGTATGATTTTAGGCAGTTTTCCTGAAATGGGAAAAAGAATTCTTACACAGATCTATAATATGCTGTCATATCTGCTGGATTTCCTAGCACATCTGAGAGTTTTGCTCTTTTTAGCATTTACTATGCAGCTCAATCTTTCATAACAAATTCACAGGTAAGACATCTTATTTTCATAGGTATTAGCAATGATCTTTATATTCATTATTCTTAAGCATCAAAAAAAGAGTTCTGGCTTAATAGTTGACATAATTGAGGACTGGAAAGATGTTAAAATTAAATCCCAACTTTTTCATTGCTGCTTTTGGTGAGTCTGATATTTCTTTTTTCAAAGCACTAAGTTTACCCTGATCTGATTCATGATTCTCTAAGCATAAGTTGAAGATGTGTGGGTGTTTTAAACTGAACCAGGCAAGGAAGATTTCTGAACAAGTTTAGTGTTTCATATATTTCAGATTTCTTTCTATGATGCACCAATCCTTATGTGTAAAAAGACATCAGCAAGCTGCTCTTTTCACTGGTTTAATTAGTCAAAACCACTGAAGTCAGTCATGTATAGCTTGTAAATGCTACCTACTTCCATTTCTAATGAACAGTGATACAAACAGAGTTGTTTGTTTTCTTGCAAAAGACATTTGGTGTGGTTGCTTTCTGAGAGACAAACTGATTAAAATTTTATTTGTGGAGATTTTTCAAAAGTACTTTCAACCATGATCTTTCTGTGTGGTGCAATGGTAAATGTTTTCACTGCATGTGAGAAATTCACATCCATATAATTTGCCGTGAGTAGTTATGAACATAATTCATGCCTTAAGTTAAGAAGGCATCTGGGCTTGAGCTAGTGCCAGTGCAGCCTTTCTACTACTACTACTTTTGGATTAGTCTGTTAATCACTGCAAGAACTGAGGAATTCATGATCTTTCTTTAGTTTCTCGGTTCATGCTGTTCACATCTTAAGAAACTGTGACTAGCCACTGACATTTATAGAAGTGAGAAAAGTACCTCATTTGTCCTCTTCCCACTCAAGTAGCCTAACAAAGATAATTAAGGTAAACTCCCAGCACAAAGCTTAGTGGTTTTCTATGCAGGAATCCACATTAGTGCTGCTTTGGTACCTATTTGCTGGGTCACTTGTTTTAGCTTCTGCAGCTTCAGTCAGATCCATCGTAACCTCAATGACCAACTCAGCAGCCTTATGAGTCTTCTGCAGGGCTGGAAGCAAAACATCAAGTTGTTGCAGGTGCAGTAGTCAGTGTTTGGTAGTGTTATATAGTGTCTGTGCTACATTTTGTAATGTAACAAACTTTGAGGAAAAACAACCAAAAAACTTGCAGCAAAATATTGGAAAATATTAACATGCTTTGTTTCTTTTCCCAGAAAGCAGCCAAAACCCTCTTCATTGCATTGGCCTCCAATTTGGGGGTGGGGAGGGAGGTGGAAAGGGGAAGGCAAGCAAAAATATTTTGATCCAGACAAAAAGAATTTATCTAGTCTTTATTTACTTCTTATCAGAATAAAGACTATTATTTCTACTGTATAGACCTATTTTGGATCTTCTGTGTGTTGTTATTTTGTATTATATTCAGTGAGCCTGGACATTATACATGTTGATTTTTTTTTTATGATTTCTGTATATGAAAAAAATACAGCAGAATCTATCTGAATTGTGTAAGAAATTGGCAATCCATTCTGCAAAGCCCAGAATTAGGGCTGATAACTTGCACCAATGGGGCAATAATATAAGCATTGGCATAGGTGGTTGTTTCTGTGGAAAGAACTGCTACCTAGTGTTCAATGTTGTCTAGTGCTATGATGACAGGTTCTTAAAAACTCAAACATCTCAAAACAGGTATAATCAGGTCCTTTACATCCTTAAACAACTTCTGTATTTTCTTATATCCCAGTTTTGGGCCATAAAAGGGGAGTTTAATATTCTGCCTCACATTAAGGGCTTTTTGAATGTAATGTGCTAAGAGATCTCTTACAGCAGTACTGACAAAGTAGATATTATTTTATTACAGAATTACATGTTTTTTCCAGGGGTCAGTAGACCTTGGCTAACCTGCTTTGACTGTCATCTTGTTCAGCTTTTTAGCTAAAGTTAAGCATTAACTTATTCACTGCCTTCAAATTGTACTATGCACATAGAATATATTCTGGTTATACAGAGATCAAGAAGAGAGATGTGTTTAGCTAAAATAATGAAGTACAAATAATGGAAAAATGTCTTCATCCTCATATATTTGGCTTATTTTCCACTTTGACTCATCAAACAGATCTGGATTCTGTTTTAAAATGTCCATCATCTGGGGCATTTTCATGGCATGTGAAACAGGGTAACATATGGAGTGCCTAATGTACCTGAAGTTTTCCTTTGTCTTCATTTGAAGAGTCACTAAAAAATGTTTTATTGAAGTGGAGTGGTAAAATCTGTAGTAAACAAAAGTCTTTCAAATCTGAACATTTCCTTCTTTATTCACAAAAAGTTACTTCTAAAATGAAGATCAGCTTCAACTTCATCTCTTTGTTGCAATTATCATCAGTTGTCTGAACTGCAACAGATGTTTTTAGCTCATATACTGTTTAATTGGTTAAAACAATTGATGTTAAATATCCAAACTGTAATGTACAGCTGAATTATGGATGTAAATTCATTTTTGCTATGTTTGAATGATAGATCCCTGCCAGAAACTAAGTTATTTACCCATTCTAGAAAGATTTTTTTTAAGTATGTAAAGAAAAAAATTATTTAAAAATACCTATTTTATATGGGTTTTATCACTTAAAACCATCTTTAATCCTGTCATAAATCATGAAATTATATGATCTTTACTTCATTTGGATTGGGAAGCAATGAACATTTTTTTAAGGTAACTTATGCTCACTTTGTGGCCACAGTGCAATGCTTAGTTCTCAAAGTGCTAAAAGAAAGAACCAGAGTAAGCAATTAAGGTATCACTGAGACTGTCTTGGGTTATAAGTTAATCAGTGTCTATAGCTTTTGTACAAAACAGCTGTTTCTCTTGTATTATTTACTGGTTGCCTTAGATTTGAGTGAAAAGAATTATGCCTTTGATTTTTTGACTATGAGAACTAAGAAATTGATTGAAATTTAATTAAAAGTAAATTATCATCAGTTTGATAAGCAGAAAGTTAATTGTATTTTGATTTATTACCTGCTAATTGATGAATATGGGCAGAAGAATTGAACCTACAAGAGCATCCTAATGTGGTATCAAGTTGTATGAAATGTCTTTGTTGATCTGAATTCAGAGCATCCTTTACCCAGATCTCAGATGCTGGTACACTTTGAAAGCAGGGAAGAAAGTTGGTGTTTAGGATGGGAGGTCTGCCTCTCAAAAGGCTGGAAAAGGAGATATGCTCCTTGTTTTAGCCAAGTGTAGCTTTGAGCTGGAATTTTCTTTTCAAACCTCTGTGTGACACATGCCAAGTAAAGGCAAAGTTACCAGCCTTCCCAAAAGTTTGGAGAGTTTTCCAAACTTTGTCACAGAGAATAGTGAATTGTATTTTCAGTTTACTGCAGGCATAAGACACTTGGAATGGAATTCCATAGGGCAACAAAACTACAGGCCCCTCCATCCTATAAATATTTAACAAAAGGTTGCTGGTAGCTGAAACAGGTAGTATTTCTATTTCTTTGCTCTTTCATTTGTCCTTTAACCTTTCTCTTGTGCTTGAAATTTGTTCGAGCATTTTTTCCATTCCAGCTAGTTTGTCAGCTGTTACTCTTGATGTTTTTGATATTTTTAACTTCAGATGTTAGACTTTTTACTCTCATATATTTTGTTCTGCGTTCAGTTATTTTCCATTCAGAACATAGGAGTGTTGCTCTTTGCAGAGGGTGTTGACCTTGAAATATTTCCCCAACTTTAGCTGAGAGCAGTATTTTATGACTGTTGTTATTTATCCACAGTGTAACAGGGATCTCTCAGATGTGTAGTGAATATAATACAGAATTTATTCATTGTCAGCCTGTGAGGTGTCTGGATGCATGTTTGCTAAGCATCTGCTGTAGCACTATCAGATCTCCACTTGCCTTCAGGTTGAAATGAGAGTTCAGAGGCTGATATCACAGGTCTGGAAACATGTTGCCCTAAAGGCTGTGTCTTTAAAATGCAATTGCAGTAGCATGAATCCTCTTGTGGAGAAATATTTTATCCCTGAAAGTCAGAGTGGCAGTGCAGCTACTGGTTTAGGGAGTGGGAGCTGTGAAGAAGCTGATCAGAGCAGGTTGAAGGATGGATTGAAAAATGCTGAAAGAAGAAGCTGAGTAATCTTTGAAGTAAGGGGAGCCAGGGAAGGCAATTTTAAGTTTCACAGGAACATGTTACAGATGTTTACAAGGTGTAATTTCAGATGGCTAATATTGTTTTTTGGAAGAAACTTGTTTTCAAGAGGAAAATCTATCACAGCTACATAGTGACAATGGTGCTGCAAATTAGGTGCTCATAGTAAAGCAGTC